TAATCTGTTCCCGTAAACTGTTTAGAAAGTCTCCACATGTGTGCACCTCTACATGTATACCTATTCTTTCTGTATTATAGGGAAAAACAGATCAAAACAAGACAACAAAACAAATTCCTAGAAAAACATGAAATGAAAAAGACATATAAAACCACAATACTAGGTGATCTACAGTAGTTACTATGCTGTCTCTTGTTACTTTCAATAGAATTGTTTACATCATCAGGCATAATATAATTGAAAATAGCATTACATAGCAATTTCAATAAAAACACAACCTTGGAGACATTGTAGGACTTCAGATGCAGTTAATAATCAAGCCGGATGGGTATCTTATATTGCATCTTGTCATCTTCAGAATAACTGTCTCTACTTTTAGACTTGATATCAAGCATACCAAATTTGAATAAAATCAGTTAAGACAAAACAACGGTCTAACAAACCAGATTCAAATAAGATCAGTCATAGTAAGACAGTGTAAGTAATACAGGGCTTCAGTTTAAGTTATTAACTTATTAAGGATAGTTACTGTAGTATATCCTGCTGTTTTTGGGATAGCTGACTGTGCCCTCAAATCTAGTATGAGTAGACATATGGGAATAAAATAAAATCAAACTAAACAGAGCAATAAGACTAATGTGGCTTTTAAATCTTGATACACTATAAACAATGTCCTCTGTCTTCATTTTTTAGACAATTCCTCCCCTTTCCCTTTCTCAGGTGCTTTGTATATTTTGGGTCCCACTAACTCCTTTAGTTTTTAGATTAGGGGCAACCTGTTATCTGTCTGAGTGGTGCTGAACCTTTTTACCCCTGAGCTTGATCTTGAGCTGTATTCCTTTACTTACTAAAGCCTCAAGGTTTTTCTTCCTTAGAGCTGAGTAGTTCTCCACTGCACAAAAGTGTCATGACTTTCCAACCTATCTGGAGCTGCTGGACGAGTTGTCCCTGTTTCTCTCTGGTTCCCTGTCACATAGAGCATTGTTTACTCATCTTTGACTTTCGGTTTATTAACCCTCTTTCAGGTTGAGTATATTTCCTATTCAGAGCATCTCGATGGATCCTATCTCCTGATCTACTCTGCCTGTGTTTCTTTTTTTTTTAGTGTATCAAGGCCATCTATATTAGAGATTATAGCCAACCTTCTCTGCCTCATCCCTGCTATTTTATTTTTCTGCTATTATATGTCCACTTTTCTCCTTCATTCCACTGTCTGCCCTGTTCATTGAGGCTTCTCTGCCACTGTTGCTAGAATCCTGGTATTTTTTTCTACCTCTATCTAAATGTCCTTCAGTATTTTTTGTAGGGTTGGATTGGTGGTCACGAACTCCCACAGTTCCTCTTTGTCATGGAGACATCTTGTTTCTCCGTTAATTTTGAGAGAGAGTTTTTCAGGGTACATCAGTCTGGGTTGGAAGTTATTTTCTTTCAGGATTTGGACTACTTCACTCCAAGCTCTTCTTGGTTTGATAGTTTGTGCTGAGAAGTCTGTCATGATTTTGATGGATTTTTCTTTATAGGTAATCTGTTTCTTTTCTCTGACCGTTTTTAATCTGTTCTTGTGTGAATTTCTGGGATCTTGATTATTATATGTCTGGGTGAGGATCTGTTTTGGTTGTAGGTGGCTGGAGTTCTGTATGCCTCATTTATCTGGATATCATTTCTTTTTCCTATGCTTGAGAAGTTTTTCTTAATTGTTTCTGTGAATAGCCTTTGTAATTGATTTGTGGTTACTCCTGCTTCTTTACTCACATTTTAAAATTTTAAGTTATAGATCTTCTTGTCATCTTCTAGCCTTTGAGTTGTTACTTTCTGGTTCCTTGTTATTTTTAAGAGGTCTTTTCTTTCATGATCACACATTGCAAATCTATCTTTAAATTTTGAAAGACTAACTTTAGTTTCGTCAAGGCATTTTGCCAGCCTTCAATGGAGTTTTTAATTTCCTGGTAATCTCTTTGGATCTGTTTCATGTATTCTGGATTTTGTTTGTATTCTTCACCAAAGGTTTCTCTTCCTTTTCTGGGTTCCTCCATTCTTCCATCTGTGTCTTCTTGTGAGGGGCTTAGCATTTCTTTTATTAATTTTTTTTATATCTTGCCTCATTTGGATTAGAATTTCAGTTTTAAGTTGATCTATGAGGTCATGAAGGTATTTCTTTATGTCTGCTGATGCTGTGGCTGATATTGCATGATTGCTGCCCTGAATCTCTTCTGTATTTACCTCTCCTAGACTTGTTTCCCAGGATCAGCAGCTGGAAGTTTTTTCTTATTTTTTTCTTTTGTCATGTTTCTGGTTTCTTTCAGACAGGTGTGTGGTGGAGGTCTCAGGCCTTCTCCGTATTGCTTACAGTTTTTCTAAAGCGTGCTAGCTGGGGGCTTGCTGCCTTCTCTAGTTTACTGTTATCTGAGGTGCATGCAGGGATGATGTTGCAGGCTGGCCCGTCTTCTCTGAGCCAATCAACTGGTGAGTGCTGTCAGCATCTTAGTCTGTGCTGTGCAGACGTCACAGGGTGGGAGAGTTTCGTCTCTGGCTATTGGGTCCCGACCAGGGGTGTGATTCAGCCTAAGCAGATGCCACCAGTCCTCTCTGGGCCAGGGGTGGCTGACTGACGCCACTGTGGTTCTGGGTGCAGGCCTGTCCTCCCCGACTCCAATTAGTCCTCCAGCTGACCACACCTGCCACGGGACCCAATTTTCAGCACTCACCGCAAATTAATGCAGCTCTCCACCTTAGCTCTACTCTATGCTGCACCGCATCCTCCCACCAAGGGCCCGGGACTCACAACTCCTGTTATCGGTGGCTGTGGCTTTAGTGTGATTGTGAATCGTCTGTCTGCAAGGTGCATCCAGCGCAGTGCGGCACCAGTCCCAGTGAGTGTGTCTGGTTCCAGCCTTTCATCCACATTTTTCCTTCCTTTCGTTCTTTTTCTTTTTCCTCAGTTTCTTCCTGGGTCATGAGAATCCCTCTCCTTTCGTCTGGTCTTCTCCATGTTGTTAAATTCTAGCGTCTGCGTTGTTTTCTCAGAGAGAAAACAAGGCGCCATCTTTAGAACTCTCTCTGAAATAGTATGTGTGTCCTATTGCACAATGGGACTTCTGCACTTACCCTTAAACTATATTCAGAACTCAAAGAGAATTCATATCCCCACATTCTATTTCTGTTAAAATTAAATTTGGATATTTGGGGAAACAGTGTTTAGTATTACGTGATCAGAATTCTAATTCCAAACTCACTTCATAAGGATATTTTGGAGAGCTGGTAGGTAGCTAAAATGGGATCTGATTTCATCTTGAAACATCCATAAAACAACAGTTAGGAGATTTAAAAAGTCATGGTTTTTCAAGATGAGAGGTCCAGACAAGAAATCAAGATGAACCAAATACTGGTTGCTAGGAGTCATGTGGAAGAATGGTAACTGATACTACTCAGAAAGGCAAAAATGCTGAGCAACCCTAGGGGAAGATGGGGGACCACTGTTCTCTATTTGTGTTGCAGAATCCCCAAAGACTCGAGACTTGGTTGTAGCTGATATGTCTGAAACTTAAGGTGAAAGAGAAGTGGGGCTGAGATAAATTAGATTGGATGAACAAGCCAAGAAGTGTTAGATCTCTAGCTATCCTCCCCACCCCACTTGGATGCCTTCCCTCACGGGTGAAGGTCTAGATCAGTGGTGGTGAATCAGGTCGCTCCAGCAGCCAAGTATCAGATAACAGTTTTTTAAACTAAAACCTCAGTATTCAGGTTTAATTGCGGTGTTGGCACTTGATGGTAAATAAGAGAGTTTTGGGTTGCAATTTAGGCACTGGATCTCCAAAAGGTTTGCTGTTGCAGATCTAGATGTTTATTTCCCAGAGGAATAAACAGAAGGTCTCGGGAGTAAGGGACCTGGTGGAGGATGTGGAGACTACTGTGAGCAGTTTGCATACTGAGGATGAAAGCAGAAGTGAGGGGCAGTGGTCCTGAGAGAGCAAGAGTCGTAGCATGTCGGTGATCCTATGGTGCCAGGGGAATTAGAGATGTGGCTTGCCGGAGTTTCCATTTCAGTGCATGTTGCTAAGAGTGGATGGTTCTGAGGCGGGAGGGAAGAAGGTCCTGGAAATGAGGAGGTCCAGAAACTGAATTTGGAAAGGAGTTTGCAAGAGTAGGGCTGAGGCAGGTACCAACCAGTCAGGTGCCTTTCTTCAGGGTAGGAAGGATCAGACCCTGAGGGCTTACCTTTTGAGGACTTAGACACTGTGACTTTAGTCCCTATAGCTTCTTGGAGGATGGTAGACATTTGGCTGACAGTTTCACCACGGATTAAAGGATTAAGGGATATATGTAGGTGTTGCTTTGCCATTCTCATGGGTTGGCTTGCGTCGACAGGGAGGCCATCCTTATGGGTCATAACAAATGGGGGGGGTGAGGGCAGTTTAAACCTCTCATTAATAACTTGACTTGTATATTCTTAACCAAATACTTACTGTTCATGTTTATAGAACAGTTAAACATGCAGGTAATGTTTTAACAGGTAATTTTTAGATCCAGAGGGCTCATCACTAATCACCATCATACTGTAAGGCTTCCATTTGAGGCCAGCTTTGGCTGTGGTGCTAAAGGATTCCCGCTATGTGTACCAGACTTTCAGGGTTGGACCCCTGCTCTTTACATGGAGCCATGCCTATGGCTAGAGCTGGGATCCTGGTAGTGGAACCCCTCAGGTTTTAAGGTGCTGGGAAATCTGGAGTGGTTAGTAGATCCTCACTAGGATTTTAACAAAGCGCACCCCACAGATTGTTCTCTCCTTGCTCCCTTCACTGAAGGCGAGATGGTAACTGAAAGGCTTTTGCTTTGGAAAAAATATTAAAACACTGCCTAATTTTTTTTTTGCCTTGTACAAATTAATTTCATGTTCTAAAATCACATCTTTTTGTTTTATTTCAGAACCTGATCCCTGGCTTTGGGGTGTTGAATAGTCTACAAGTGACTTTTCACTTTGTGTTTGGCCTTTTTCATTCCAGCTCTACTACCAGGTTTTAAACTTCGCCATGATCGTGTCTTCTGCACTGATGATATGGAAAGGCTTGATTGTCCTCACAGGCAGTGAGAGCCCCATTGTGGTGGTACTCAGGTAAGCCCACGGGTCAGCCCCTGTCCTGTGTCACGCTGGGGTAAAGGGGAGGAGCGGACTTTGAGTGAGAAACTTGAGTGTGACAATTATTACTCAAGATTGTAATTGGTTAAGCTATTAGAACCTTCTTTATTGATATTTGTTTTGAGATTGTCCCCCTTTTTTTTGTGGTATTGGTGGAAAATCTTATCTTCTCAGTTTAAAGATCTGTGTTGATACTAGTGCATTTAATTCACTTATAAATCACAGTTTAGCTATAATGCATTATTGTTGTTCAAGTTGATTTCTAAATAACTAAGTTAAAATTGTCACTTGGTTTTCTTTGAACCTAATAGGCAGAGAGTGCCCAGTGCCTAGCAAGGGCCTGATACTTTTTCAGGCTTCTTCAGTGATACCGTTATAGTAGTTACAGTCTTCTAGAGACTCTTGTGCTTATAAAAATAAAGCATGTTTATTTTAGAAGAATAAATGCCGAATTCAACTTCATGTAGCCATAAGGTCACCCAAGCGAAAATTTTAAGTCAATCTGAAATCAAATAACCACATTTGGGAGCTGGTAGGTGCTTCATGATGCTCTCTGTCCAGCTTGTCTCAGATGGTTGGCTCTTACTGTCAGTGAGGAGATAGCCCCTTTGATGTACACGTCCTAAGGCTGCAGCCGTGTCCGCACTTCTCCTGGCCACCCTTGTGCAACTAGCCAAAGGGCACACTTTTGGAGGCACAGTGTTTTCACAAATATACCTGCCTGAGGATGGCTCACAACACGGATGAGGTGTTTACACTGTGCTCCAGGAGTCTCCTGGGCTCTGATGGATAAAAAGGGAAAGGGTTGAGGCTGGACCCTTGATACCTTCAGTTGCAATAGTTCTACTTTTATGTATTTGTGTGGCTATTTTGCCTGGCAAGTTTCATTTGAAAGAAGGATTTTAAGACTTTTCAAATGGGGAGTAGGAGTGTAGTTCAGTGGTAGAACATTTGCCCAGCATGCACAGGGCTCTAACTTCAATCCCCAGCGCGTGTGTGCATGCACGCACACACACACACAGAACAAGAAAGAGAAGAAGAATTAAAAGCCTCAACTGTAGATGTTCCATCTCATGTCACAGAGTAGGACCCTAAGGCCCTGGGAGGCAGTGTGGCAAGGGTCACACGGTTACTTTTGGCAGTGCATGCATGGTGCCACATCTGAGAACACGTGGCTCTCCTCAGGTCACAGAGACACATTTGTACAAAGAGGTAATTGTGAAATTTCAGTGCATAGGAACTTTTAAAAAGTATCCTTTATAGTTCAAAGCAGTTTTTGTTTTATAAAATAAAACATTGACCTCCCTGAGGACTGTGTGACCCTGGGGGAATCTCTGGCCAGGAGAAAAGCAAGTATAAGTTGGTAATTAGGGAAACACTTAAAAGAACTGATTTCCTGTTGAGACAGATCATATCCCTCCCTCAGTGCCAAGCTTCAGTATACCCTTCTTGCCTCTGAGATTTGTACAGGAAGTTCTTTCCTCTCTGTAATTCTGTTATCACAGACCAAAACAATTTTCTAGAAACATCTTCACACTGTGTCTTCAGAAATTTGGTTGAAGGAATAAACATGAAACTACAGTTGAAGAAACTATCCTAAGCATTTTAACAATTGTTCTTTAAAAGAACACACAACTCTGAAGCAGTTCATGTGTCACTTAGGAAAACAAAATAAATTTTGTGTTGAGAAACAATGAAGCCCCAAAATTATTTTATTCTGTTGTTTTCTCTTTGTTTTCCTTTTGGTCATTTCTGTTGCGAACTCCCCGTGCCTTTTTTACTCAGATTTCTTGGTTTTGAGCACCAAATATGTTATAATACTTAATGTGCTGGTGTCACTCTAACATAAACCTCCCAGGGGGTGCTCCATGGCCAGCCTCTGCTGCATGTCTCCTTCCTGCATTTGGCATCTGCTGTGAAGTTCAGGGGTACCAGGGCTTTGAAATTGGAAAGGGGGGCCAGTTCGATGAGCGACTCTTTCCTGTAAAGCTCCATGTGGATTCAATATCCTGGCTTTCTCTCCCTCTGCTTCCTGCTGAACAGACATTACTCATTCTTCTTTGTTACACGGCCTCTATCAAGGCAGATTTTTAGGCCTGTTCTTTTCTCACATATTAAAGCATTTTTGTACATACAGTGAATTCTGGTTTTTTAACTTCAGCTCCCAGTAGATTATAGTTCACTTTGTACCCACCAAAAATTTTGGCATGGATTTGCACTGGGGATTATTTATTGACCTCCACATCTACATTGCTAGCCTAGGCTTTTGTAGAATACAGCCAAAATCACAGGTTTCGTGAACAAAACCCAGACTACTTGGGAAGTATCTCAAAGAATCAATAACTAGGATCTCATTATATTAAAAAGCTTTTGCACAGCAAAAGAAATCACCATCAAAGTGAAAAGACAAACCATAGAGTGAGAAAAGCTTTAAACAATTATCTCTTAGGCAAAGGACTTTTATCTACAACATATAAAGAATTTTTAAAAAATCAGAACACCTGAATTCAAAGACTCCACCAAAAAATGGGCATCTTAGATAAATATACACTTCTCAGATGGAGAAATATACATAGCAAATAAATATATGAAAAAGTGTTCAACATCACTGGCTAGTCAAGAGATGCAAGTTAAAACAACACTGAGATTCCATCTCACCCCAGAAAGAATGGCCAAGATCAACCAATAACGAGTGCTGGAGGGCTGTGGGGAAAAAGGAGTCCTCCACTGTTGGTGCAAATGTAGACTGGTGCAACCACTATGGAAATCAGTGTAAAGATTAAAAAAAAAAAAAACTGGAATTAGAAGTCCCATTCCACCCAGCAGTTTCCTTTCTTGGTATCTTCCCAGAAGAATTAAAAATGTCATACCACAGTGATGCATGTGCACCCATGTTTACAGCAGCACAATTTGTAACAGCTGAATCTTAGAAACAACCCAGATGCCCGTCAACAGAAGAATGAATAAAAAGATGAAGTACAATGGAGTATTACTCAATCATAAAGAAGAATAAACTTGAGACTTTTATAGGTAGATGGATGCAATTTGAGTCCGTACTCATAGGTGAAATAAATCAGACTCACATGTGTAAATATCATTTTTTCTCTCTAGTATGAGAAACTGAAATCTCTAGTAAGTTCTAAAATATACAATAGATATTGTGAAATGAGAAGAAATTGTTCCAAAGGAAAAAAGAAGTAGGATGGGTAAAGGGGGAAGGACGGTATGGAAAAGGGAAAAAATGCAAGTCAGTTATACTATTCTGTGTCTAGTTCATTAAGAAGGGTGGTTTGTGCTAATACTGATTGGAGAAATTTTTTTGCCCATATCTTGTTCCCTGAATAACTACTTTAAAGATGGCAACATGTAATGTATTAATTATTGTCGTTCTCCTATTATTTTATATGAAATTTGTTTTACCTTTTTTCCATAAAATAAAAAAAATGTAAAAAAAAAAAAAAAGAATATGGTCAAAATGGTGATGTCCCAGGTGGCAAGACAGGGGTTCACATTTTGTCCCCATGTCCCAGTTTATTTCTCATTCCATGAACAAATACTTAGTGTCTTAGGTGTTGGAGATATGTATGAAACCAGAGTTCCCATAGCTGGACAGGCCTGCAGTTCTGAATGAAAATAGTGATGTATTTGTAGAGGTGCGGCTTGTTTTAAGACTAAAAATTGGCTGCTTTTACTTCAAAGAGTCTGTCCTGTTCCTGGTCCTTGTTCTACTTAATGCAAAGAGCACTGGGCTTCCTAGTGCCCTTTTCATTCTTCAGTCTAGGTAGAAATCGATTCTGTCTCACATTTCATTGTCACTTGAACTGAAGGAACCACAGTGGCTTGGTTTGTAGCTCTGGAGACTTGGCTGACTATGGCTGAGTGTTAACTCTGACCGGTAAGTTTATTGTGATTACCTTTTGTTCGCTGATACTGACTTTGTGTTTCTTTCAGTGGCAGTATGGAGCCAGCCTTTCACAGGGGAGATCTTCTGTTCCTCACAAACTTCCGGGAAGACCCCATTAGAGCTGGTGAAATAGTGGTTTTTAAAGTCGAAGGACGAGACATTCCAATAGTTCACAGAGTAATCAAAGTTCATGAAAAGTAAAGAGCCGTTGTTTTTGTAAATTTTGGGGAGATGGTTTTATGGGTAATTAGATAGTAGTAAAATCATGTTCCTAATTCTGCCATTTACCGATTGAGTAACTTTGGAATAACCACCTCACTCTCTAAAATTGGAAGTGATAATATTTTATTCTTAATAATTCATAGGGTGATTATGAGCAATTATTTAAAACCAAATGAACAATACACTTAAAACTTAATTTGCTGCACAAATTGAAGGTAAGGTATATTGTGTTAGTTACTAAAGCAATTGCAAAGAAAACCATATCACATTAATAAAGGATTACTTTGATAGAGAATTACTTTTTAATTGGTGAGCTTAATTTACAATTATTTTAAAACTAGAGAAACACTTAGCGTTGCTGTTTTATAGATGGTATATTTGCTATACATTGGTAGTTTCTTTTTTCCTATGTTGTGTTGAATAGAACAGGTTCTCTGGCTAGTTTAAAAGTTATGCATTTTATTTAGTTTTATTGAGAGTGCTTTGTTTATTTGTGAAACAAATAAACAACCCATCCCAATTACAGAAAACAATCATCATTCTCAAGTTTGAACAATTTTTCATTTTTAGAAATTGATAATATGATGTGATAATTATTTTTTGACATATAAAAAAGTATTTTTCTGTGTCATTTTGGCCAAAGTGGTATTTTCAGCATAACGTTAGCCCTATATGGCTAAAACTTCCTTTCCCTAACTCATCTCGTGAGTGGCCCTGGCATATCCTGTGTTAATTCTTCCTGGTACAGACAGCCTTGCTTTTCACTTAAATGCCAGATGACTTATTAAGATCTTAATAAGGTCTGGTTTCTATTTTTAGAAACAAAACATTTACCTCTACTCAAACATAGAAAATTTCCATGAGAAAATGAAAATGTTACACAATATTTCATATTCTTGGATTATTTGTTTACCTTTATACAAATTTTACTTACCTGATTTATGGAATTACAATTAGCTACGTACATCTGTATTTTCTGAATAATGGAGGATTTCTCATTGTGTGTGTGTGTGTTTGTGTGTTAGATAACTATGCATTTATGGCATTAGATTCTCATGCTTTTCACTGCTACCAGGTGTTCTCCAAATATATTAATACTTAAAATTTTTGTTTCATTTTATTCTAAACATTGACAATTCAGTTTTAGTTTGTATTGATACACTGGTACTGTTCTAATGGTCACCTGATATCTACTTGTTAGCTTACTGAGAAAGGAGTCTGATCAGACATGACATGACTTACCTGATTTTAACACAATTTCTAAAGATGAAAAATTGTTCAAAGTTGAGAATGATGATTAGTTGCTGTAATTGGGATGGACTGTGAGAGATAGCCATGGCTGCAAGTTACGATATTCTTTCTGACAGAGTTTCAAATCTTTATGAGCTTTATATATTTTCTCTCATTATAAGGGTACTTTTGTTTTTCACTTGTTTTATTGAAAGACTGCTGTCTTTATAACTGCATAAACAGTTTTGTGTTTCTAGTATCAAGGCTGAGTACCAGCTTAGAATGCTTAATATTAGTCTCATATATCTCTTTAACATACCAGCTTTATGCCACTTGAGACTTATTTCCTTGCAAACAAGACTTTTCACCACTCTGCTCAGTGGTGGAAGGAGTAACCCATTAACACATTCCACATTAGACAAAGAAAAGTGTGAGGGCAGCTAGGAACACAGTTGCATTTATATATCTTGCACTCGAGTCTGTCATCTGGGACCAAGTTTGTGTCTACAGTGAAGAAGAATATAATTCGTGCTAACAAGTGGCCCCTACGGTCTGGAAAGGAATGAAAACTGTTAAATACGACACAGATAGTTAAGTCAGCCTCATCCCTGACTTCTGACTTGAAGTGAATGACAGCAGTAAGCTTGGAAAAGCTGATTGTCCACAACATTTGGGTAGGCTACAAGCCAGAATATGATTATGCACAGGGATTGTTTACCTGATTTTACCCTGATAGTAATCCTCATGTTTTATAAATTAAAAATAAGTAAGGAACTAGCTTTTTCTTCATGGAGTGAAGGCATGGAGCGAAAAGCAGGTCTGTATTGTGTGTGAACCATTGCCTTCCTGGTGCTCTGGTGCTTTGCAAATGCTTTTGTTTGTCAGGGTTATTTGAGTGTTCCAGAATTTGAGTCATTTGTGCTACAGCTAATGATTATCTGTAAGCAGTCATCTTAGACCAAAAGAAGGTCAAGTGTTCTTTGATTGCTTTCTAAATGTTCATGTCTGACCAGAATGTCTTAGGTAAACTAATATTTTTAAATGATATTGTGCTGAAAATAACTTTTGAGAAGGTATTATTTTGCTTTCCAGAGATAACGGAGACATCAAATTTCTAACTAAAGGAGATAATAATGAAGTTGATGATAGAGGCTTGTACAAAGAAGGCCAGAACTGGCTGGAAAAGAAGGACGTGGTGGGAAGAGCACGAGGGTGAGGATGAATTTTCAGTTATGCAAAAGGTTCAGAAGCCAGGGAAATATATTTAAAAACAAAGAAACTAAATTTATAGTGTAACAGAATCATAATAATATGCCAGGAGCACCTGAAATAGTGCTAGTTTATACCATGAAAACTAAAGAAAACTTAGAAGTTTCTAAAGACCTAAAATGTAAAACTAAATCCAAGTATATGGTCTATATCATAGATTTAATTTTTTCAAAATAAAATCTCAGAGATTTGTTATTTGTAGATTGTAAATAAGTTACAGCAAATCCTCTCAGAAATGACCTTTTGGTGAATATTCTGGAAGCTCTTTGTGCCCAATAGATGTGTGTATATGCACCTGTGGTGTGCAGTGTTACCTAGAAGATTTGGGTTTTTTCACCTAAGAGGCAGTGTGAAATATTTACTTGTCAAATCTCTACCTTTTTCTTTTAAAATGATTACATGCTATTCTAATAATAATCATCACTTTTGTAATCAAATATCTTTTGGTGGATTTTTTGTCATGGTAAATATTTAGATTATCTTCTACTTTTCATAACTAAACGATTTTTGTTTTAATTTTTTTTGTTTGTTTGTTTATTATTGGTACTGGGGATCAAACTCACAACCACACACTTGCAAGGCAGGCGCTTATGCCGCTGAGCTAAATCCCCAGCAACTAAGAACAATTTTGTGGTAAATCTTTTTAATATTAATTTGCATGATTGTTCCAGCAGTGAGTTTTGATTCTGAGTCAATCTTATTAAATAAAGCAACTGGGCATGGTGGTGCATGCCTGTAATCCCAGCACTTGGGAGCAGATTGCCTTGAGTTCAAGGCCATCCTAGGCTGTGTGGTGAGTTCAGGCCAGGCTGAACCACACAGCAAGACCTTGTCTCGGTATAAAATACAGCACAACACCAAAACCGAAAAAGGACTTCTTTCTGTGACCCTTTAAATATTTAACCCTTGTTAAATGTCTTAGAAATACGTTGTCTTAATCTGAAGTTCACCAGTTATATATGGCTTAAGAAACTGGCTACCATTGTTTAAGATTTCGCTTTATGCATCAGATTGTAGTGTAAGGACTCTTGCTACCTGAACTGTTGGGTTTCCTCTTGAATATTTTCAAGGAGACAGGGAGGGCCTCCCACTAGTCAGTCTTATTTTTCTAACACGGGTGCAAGTCTGTGGCCAAGAGAGGTTGGAAGCTGCTGCTCGCTGGCTGGAAGGCACTGTGGGTGTGTTTCCTTGTTTGCATTATCAGACATGATGAGATGGGTCAGACTGATGACATACTGATATTAATGCTGTCAGCATAAGCAGTGGCTCCAAACCTTCTCTCTCTGGGATTGTAATCATATTTGAGTATGGGGTATGGGATTCTTGTGTATTTACTGCCTAATAAATGTATTTCTCACACCTGAAAAGCACTGTGAAGTGAAAATGACAATGATTCTTCAAATTACAAACTAATTATCTATGTGCTTTAAAGCTTTATCCTATAGCAATTTATATATGAGCCATTTGAAATTGCTTTCCTTAAAAGATAAGAAATAGATTTGTGACAGAGGATTTAGCTCAGCAGCATAAGTACCTCCCTGGCAAGTGCAAGGTTGTGAGTTTGATCCCTGGTACCAAAAAAAAAAAAAAGAAAAAAAATATTTGTGAAAGTTATCTATTCTGTTTGGATGAGTGACTCAACAAATGATTTTAATTATGGCAAATGAAGACAAGTAGCATTGCTATGTCAGATCATATGCTGGATTAAAAAAATTATCCTAGCTGTTAACACTGATGTTTTCCCACTGATAAAGCCCTTTGAGCCAGGGATAAATACTGTCCTTAAAACCACAGTTAGTGATACCATAAACTTTTTTTTTTTTTTTTTTTGGTACTGGGGATTGAATTTATAACCTTACATTTGCCATGAAGGCATGTAGGCCATTGAGCTAAACCACCGGCCCAGTGGTATAATATGAAAGATTTACTTCATAAAGCCAACTTACAGTATGTCAAGTATTATTTGGCTGGGGATTTAGCTCAGCGGCATAAGTGCCTGCCTTGCAAGCAGGCAGTCGTGAGTTCGATCCACGGTACCAATGAAAAGGAAAAAGACAAAAAAAAAAAGTATTATCATAAACAATTATATATTTTTTGCTTTTTATTCCCACAACTTAGGTTTTTACCATATGTTGGTATGGTTACCATAATAATGAATGACTATCCAAAATTCAAGGTAAGAATTTATATGTGTGTCCTTATTTATTTTTAAATATTGGAGCTTTTATTTGCACAACTGTAAAGAGGCAGTCTCCTTTTTATTTATTTATTTATTTTAAAGGGAATAAAACCAAACAAAACAGAATAAAGCTAATCAGAACAGAATAATGAAAGTGATACAGGACTTCAAAATAAAATAGGAAATCAACAATGGGTACCATAAAACATTCTGTTATCTTCAAAATAGCTGCCCATACCATCAGACACAGTAAAATCAAACAGAGCAAGACAGAACAAAGCCAAACTTAACCAAACTATGAAAATAATACAGGAATTCAAAATAAGATAATAGGAAATTAACAGTGGTTTCCACCTTTCCTTTTTAGACATTTCCTCCCCTATCACTTGCATAATGTCTGTTGTGCATTTTGGATCCCACTAACTCCAAGTCCCCACCATTTCACCCATAAGCATGATCTCAAGTTCCATCCTCTTACCTACAAGAGCCTCAAAATTATCCTTCTTGATAGCTGAATAGCTTTCCACTGTATAACAGTATTGTATCTTTGTTATCCATTCTGTGTTTGATGGACAAGCTGTGCCTGCTTTTTTCTGGTTTCTTGTCACATAGAACATTGTTTTCTCTCTCTTACCTTCATCTATGAATTTCCTTTGAGTTAAATGTGTTTTTTGAATATAGTATATCGATGCGTGTTTCTTCATTTACTTTCCCTATGTTTCTTTTTATTGGTGAATTGAAGACATCTGCGTAAATGGTTACAACCAGCATGCACTGGGTCACTTCCGCCATGCTATCCTCCTGCTGCAGGCCCCCCACTTTCCCCCTCTGTTCAACTGCCTGCCCTGTTCAGCAGTCCCCTCTGCTGCTGTTCCTGGAACCATGTTCATCTTTCTCTCTCTCTAGAATATCCTTCAGCACTCTGTATAAGTTTGGTTTGATGGTAATGAATTCCTTCAGTTCTTTATCATGGAAGCATCTTATTTATCTATCAGTTTTGAAGGCTAGTTTTTCGGGGTACATCAGTATGGATTGGAAGTTGTTTTCTTTCAGAGTTTGAAATACTTCAAGCTCTTCTTGACTTGACAGTTTGTGTTGAGAAGTCTGTTGTCATTCTGATGGATTTTCCTTTATAGGTTATCTGTTTCTTTTCTCTAACAGCCTTTAAAATTCTGTTCTTGTGCTGAATTTCTTGAGTCTTGATTATTATGTGTCTAAGTGTAGATTTATTTTGGTTATGGATAGTTGGAGTTCTATATGCCCCCCTTATCTATGTCAGGTTTCACATTTTTGGGACATTCTCTTGCTTTAGTCTTGTAAATAGTCTCTATGTCATTTTGACTCCTGCTTTTTTGCTGACATCTATTACTCTTAAATTATTTTTCTTTGTGTTGTCTTGTAGCTATTGAATTGCTATTTCCTGGTTCCTCATTATTTTTAAGAGATCTTTTCTTTCACAATTGTTAGTTGTGATCCTGTCTTCAAAGTCTGAAAGTCTATCTCCAGTTTCTTTCAAATGGTTTTGCCAGTTTTCAGTGGAGTTTTTAATTTCCTGGATATCTCTTTGAATCTGTTTCATGCATTTTAATTTCTTCCTATATTGTTCATTAAAGGTTTCCATCATTTTCCTATGCTCTTCTTTTTTATCTGAATCTTCTTTAGATATTCTCAGCAATTCTTTCATTGTTTGTGATTTCTTCTTTTACTTGAGATATTATTTCTGATTCAATTACTTTTACAACCTCATGAAGTTGTTTCTTTATTTCAGTTGCTGTCCTCTCAGAGATTTCAGATGTGTGAATTCCACATTTTCTTCCATGTCTGTATCTCTCAAGACTTGTTCTGTGTGGGCTGAGGGTCAGATTGCCTTTGCTCCTTCTTCTTGACATTTTCCTGGGTTCCTCGCAACGAGCCGATTCCCAGGCACTTCCCATGCCAGCTGCCTCTCTGCAGTGTAGTGGAATGGGCCAGGCACTGGGTTTCCCTGAACCCCAGCTCCCAAGGAGGCAGTGGGGCTGGGGCAGGCCTCCCTAGAGCTGTGTGGCTATCCTGAGGCTTCCCCTTTGGCCATGGGTGTGCAAAGGTGGGGCCGCTTCTTCTCGTAGCCTATGTGCTGCCTGTGGAGCAGGTGCACAGAGGCATGTCTGTGTGGTTCTTGTGGCCTGCACTGGCTGCCCACGGGAAACAAGCACCTTTGATGGCCTGTGAGTACACAAGGTGGGTCTGGCTATTTCTCCCTGCCCTTGCGGACTGCACACAGGAGGCAAATCTTCTGATGGTGTGGGCGTGCAGGTGCCAGTCTAGCTATTTCTTAAGAGGTAGTCTTAAAATATTTTGCCACTAATTTTTCTGCAGAGTATATATAGTTAACTACAAATTAACAGAACACTTCGATTGACATTTAAATTAATTATTTAAATAGTATCTTTCATCTTTTTGTTCATAGTATATTCTAAAATGGCACTTATGTAATTGTTGCTTATTATTATGGAAATTTTCAAACAGACAAAAAAGCAGTATAATAAACCTAGTAATATTTGCCTACTAGCTTCAATAGAAACAGTTTGTCTATTTTTGGGGAAAATAAACACTTGAAAAACAATAGGAAACCTACCTAGGAATAAGTACTGCACTAGATGTTTGTCAGGTGTTTGATCCTTGGTCCATTGATGTATTTTTGGGTCTTTACCACAGTGTGGTATTGAACAGCTAATTTGGAGAACAAGCCGTCGGGGAGAGGTCATCTTTTGATTCTGTCCTCAGTGCAGTATTGAATAGGCTTCATCTGAATACAGTACATTTATAAGCCAAATGTATTTGTAGACCTCACAATAATTTTCCATTGTATTTCTTTACAGTATGCACTGTTGGCTATAATGGGTGCATATGTGTTACTAAAACGTGAATCCTAACATGAGAAGCAGTTCCTGGGACCAGGCTGAAGTGAATTCTGTTGAAAAAGAAAAAAAAGTAATATATTTGAAATGTTCTACTTTCTGTATAAAAGAAAACTCTTGGAGATGTTTTTGTCTTGTTCAAATAAATGATTCATCAGTAAAGATTGTTTTCTTTTGTAAGCTCTGATTGGAATCCGCCCATTCTGTCTGCTGCTTTGCTAGCCACTCTGACCAAGTCTGAGGGCCGGCATTCCTTAGAGAATAGGTGAGCAGTGCAGGGGCCTGGCCTGCTGGGGAGGAAGGGCAAGGCATAGCCCGTGTGATCGGGTTGTAGTGCCTGCATTTCAGAAATAAAACTCACTTAACATAACGGCATTCCTTGGGACAAGCAGACGTTTCAGACACGGAATTTTTTTTTTTTTTTTTTTTTGGTACCAGGGATCGAACTCACGACCTTGCACTTGCCAGGCAAGCACTTATGCCACTGAGCTAATTCCCTGGCCTACGATAATGGACTTAAAATTATTAAAAGTATAATCTGGTAAATTAATAATGTCTAAAACCCTTTAGAAGGAAAGGATGCAACCTGCTTTGTTTTCATGGTGTGATATGTCTCAAGGTGGTTTGTTCAGGTATTTGAAAAAATGTTTCATAATAAAGCAATGCACACACCCTTGATGAAGACTCCAGATAAATGTGGAATGGTGAAAGGGACATATTCCTTCCCTCGTCTGCCTTTCCTATTTCCAGGAATCTCTGCTGTGCTCTAGATAGTCCTACATCTAAAATCATTTCTCATTCAAATTGTTGGTCAAGCACTTCTACCCCAACCACTGTCTTAGGTTCTGAAATGCAGTGCCCAAGTCCTGTTGGAGGGTTTAGTGCAGTGGAAGAGGTAATAAACACATCGTGATTTCAGGTAGTGATAGTTGCTGTGATTAAGCAGGGTAAGCAGATAGAGGGGGACAGAAGATACTGCTTCTCATATAGAGGTCAGAGCTGGCTGAGGAAGCGGGTGATACTAAGCAGAGGAGGAGGGAATGAGAGTGAAGCGTGTCAGGCCTGGGGAACAGCATTCCAGTCAGCAGAAAGCCCTGAGCAGGCAAAGTTGGGTGCAGGCTGCAGTGGTTCCTCCCGGTTTCCTCAAGAGCACGTAGAACACCCAGCAGTACATAAACAGATTTTGGCCAAGTGGTCTGAGATAGGGCAGTGTGCCTGGGGGATGCTGAGGCTCCTGGTCCCCAGACCATACTAGAGGGATAAAGGAAGGCCAGGGGTATTTAAAATACACTTCTCAGTTTTACAAAAGTGTTTTGTTTTCAGCTAGAGAATATGGCATTTGCATGCTGTCAGAGCTCACCCATCTACCTCATTCATTTAGGTTTGTCCAAGCTAAGAATTTAGAAAACCTAAAAGTCCCTTCAACTCCTGTGCAGCCTAAGCAAGTAACTTAACTTCTCTCAGTCTGGAAAGGAGGCTGTGAGCCAAACTTACCACACTGGGCTGCCATGAGTAATAATCAGATTGTAACACAGTGCTGTGGCACAGTGCTGTGCATGTACATAGTGTGCACTTGAGGAAGACTTCCCTGTGTACTTCCTGTCTCTTCAGGGTAAGTCTGTACCACATCACATACCTGCAAAGTTCCTCTCTGAACGAGCTCCTGACTTGGGAAAGGCCAGCAGGAAGGCTCTGTTGGGGGACAGCTTGCCCTCTAAATCCTTTCTCCTGAATAGTGTATTGCAACAATAATAGACCTCATCCTGTTGAAATCAGCAAAGTTAAAAAAAATTTTCAGAATACTTTCTAAAAACATTTTCTTCTGCCTTTTAACAAACTGTCTTAAGAAAAATGAGTGTTTTCTTCCTTTAACTAAAAATAGAATTTTAAAATATTTGGGTCAAAACTTCATGATAGTAAGTCCCCAATTCATAAGCATTGGAGTTTCAAACCTGCACAGATACAAAGGAACCTCATATTATGAACATTCACAGATGTGAACAAATCACAGCAGTAGCTAATGCATCTGCTGTTTACTGGCAATATTCTTGTGTAGAGAGAGGTCATGGCTTACATTGTACATTTGTATCAAAAGTAGGACTTTGTTGGACTTAGGAATGAATCTGACTGAACAGATGTTCTTCTGGAAGAAGTTGTAAGTCAGGGACTTAATGATTTCATCTCCTTCTTGGGTTCTGTGGCTGGTTAAGATCTTTTGGACCTCAGAGATACTGCCAGGCCTTCCTTACGTGAGACACGGTGGAAGTTAATAGTGGACTCAATTTCTTTTATCGTAGGCTCTCTGGTTGTAGCCTCAGTGTCTGGAACACACCAAAAACCAGAACTGTATTTCTCACATGATTAGGTAACTTTTCCACCTCTGCGCTGAAGCATCAAAGTACAATGTGCCTACCCACAACACCACTAAGAAGGTGAAACCTAAACTGATACAAACATCTCAGGACACCACATGGCATAAAGACAACCCACAAAGTCCTCACTGTATTTTAAGGGGCTACACATTGTTATGGCTTAAATTAGATGTCCCCCCCAAAGGCTCATGTGCTCATTGGGGCTTTTCAGAGCTGGCTGGATCTAGTATGTGTGATACTGAGATTAAGGGTGTGTGTTCTAAATCCACTCATTGAAATTAGCATAGTTCTGGGTATGACTGAATGAACTTACTGAAGATAGAAACCCCACCCTGGCTGTGAGTGTCATCAACCAAAAGGTCTGGAGCGTCTTTGGGATTAAAGGGAAAGGTGGACTTGCTTCTGCTGCTTTGCTGCCTGCTGCCTGCCATGCCACGTAACATTTCTCATCGGTGATGCCCCTCTGGCAATGCCACCAGCCTTGGAGCCAACCAACTATGGACTGAAACTTCTACAAACTGTGAACCAAAATTGGTAGTAGAGCCTCTCAGAGTTCCTAACCCACAGCCCTTCCAACCCTTCCTGTTTGGCAGCCATTGTGTTAATGTTATGCAAATGCTAGACAAATAGCTCCCAGTATGCATACACATTCCCACAACCAGATTGCAGACTTTACCTGACTTGTCTGTTAAAAATTTTACCTACTACTGTCCCCACAAAGCTGGACTGATGAAGCATTGTGAGGAAGAGGAAGTCTTGAGTTTTCTAAGTAAGCAAGGTGAGATTATCAGGGGAAGCGTGGGCATCTGGCAACTCTTTAGGTAACTGATGTGAGGCTGAATTGAGAAGCACCAAGAAACATCGCGCAAATTGGCAATTCATAAGATTGGCTTGCTTGTTGTTCATAACATCCTTTTTGTCTTCATGAAGTCATTTTCAGATTGCATGATGAGCAAAAAACCAGAAATGCATTGTTGTCTACATGCCACCGTCTCACCATTTCCCACCTGAACTGATGCTAAGCTCTCTACTGCGGTCATCTGGTTTCTGTTGGGGCACCACATCTTACAAAGTAAGCTTTCGCTCAGGGCACTGAACAGTCGGCTTAGACTCATCCTGAAATTCTGGACAGACGTCTATCCATCCCCATTATTCGGACTTAGCAGGCTCTCCATTTACAATGAGAGTAGGATTGGATAAAAGAAAGATTTCGAGTCACACTGTGGGTAAGGTCTTGCCTTTATCTACTTCCTAGACACTTTTAACTAGCTTGGATTCAAGTTTCTTTCTTTCTAGCATCAATTTAGAGCAGAGGATTGGTTTGATGCCTGTATTTGAATAAAGATTTACTATTCCTCCAGAGCCTCTTTCGCATTCTTCCCTATCCTCTTTGCCTAGAAAATCCCATCTACATTATTTTGAGCTTTTAATGTCTGTCCACGCTGTTGCAGGCATGCTAGGGCAGGGATATTTTCTCCAGGGTCTCTGCGTTAACTGTATGAAGATTTAGGATGATATAAGAGAGTATAAACCCTCTATACACTGCATCTTGCTTCTGCACAAGTTCTGTGCTGGCATAAGAATGAAAGGCTTCCCACATGCTCTGAGGCTAGGCCTCCTACTGAATCACCACCCACACTGTCTACCATATGCCTCTTTGCAGGTTTAATGAGTTGCCTAAAGGTGTTCGGCTTTTTCTATGCTGCAGAATTTTGCTTTGTTTTCTTGACATATTTTTTAGAGCATATTAGGTTCATAGCAAACTGAGTGGAAAAGACGGAGCTTGCCCACGTGCTTCCTCGCCCTACACATGCCAATATGCCCCACAAACATAATGCATTTGCCAGTGCTGATGAACCCACATGATGCAACTTTTACTATCCAAAGCCCATAGTTTACATTAGAGTACACTCTAATTATATCTACTAGATACTCTGCAAGTTTTGACACATATATAATAATAGTATTCAGTACTGTAGTATCATGGAGTAGTTTCATTGCTTAAAAATGTGTTCCACCTATTCATCTCTCCAAATCTCCCATCCCTGGAGACCATTGATCAATACTATCTCTGAGATGTTACAATTTGAAATTTCAGACTGACTTCTTTAATTTGGAAATGTGCATTCATGTTTCCTAATGTCCTCATGGGTTGCAAGCTCATTTCTTTTTAGTACTGAATAATGTTCTATGGTCTGAAGGCACCACAGTTTATCCATCCACATACTGAAGGACCTCTTGATTGTTTACAAGGAAAATTTGGCAATTCCAGAGAACTCTCCTATCAAGATATGTGCAGAGATTTTGGTGTAATAAGCTTTTAGCTAATTTGGAAAATATGAAGGAGTTCAATTGGTAGAGTATGTTTAGTTTTGTAAGAAATTGCCACACTGTCTTCTGAAGAATAAGAGTTCCTATTACTCTACGTTTTTAACATTTATTGTCAGTGTTTTGACTTTTAGCTACTATAATTAGTATGTGTGTATGTATTGGGTATCTCTTGTTTTAAATTTATAATTTCCTAATGAACATCTCTTCAATTTTATTTTCCAATTATTTTACTTTCTTTTCTCATTTCTGAGACAAAATACCTGACACCCAAAGTTAAGGGAGGAAAGTTGCATTGTAGCTTACAATTTGTTGAGGTATTAGTTCATAGTTGGCTGGTTCCAAGGCAGGGTGGCATAGCACAGAGACATCACACAAGAGGTGGAAGGCCACAGAAGATAAGCAGCAGGAACCTGAAGTGATAGTATCAACCCTCTTTCTGTTCCTTATAGCCTATCAGGG